TGCTGTTATGTCTGTGCTTTAGGATGAAAGTTTCACAGTCTTCACAGTGTCAAATTAGCACAATTCTGAAGGCGTTAAACTTCATCAGTGTGGGTCACTTTATCCGTCACTAAATATGATAATTATTTTTTTTTAGGGGGTGGTGGTCCTTTGGAAACCCAGGAGTTGATCTTGATGATCCTTGTGGGTCCCTTCCAACTTGGATATTCTATGATTCTATGATTCTGCTAAGTGAAGGGTTTTCTGCCTTTTCATTACATTTATCTGAGTATGTGGTACTTTGAGCAATACATCTATTTTTCCTTCTATTTTGAAGCGTTGCTTAGCACCCACAATATTCTAAATAATAAACAAGCACAATGAAGTATAACTCTGAAAACATTTAAAAGGTGAACTCAAGTCAATTATAGATATATTCCATAGCATCATAAAATAGTAAGTAGTTTCAGATTGCTGGAATTTAAACACTAAGTGGTCTGTGTGATTTAGGCCCAGTGGTGCACTGGCTTTTTTCACCCACTCTATGTGGAGCAATACTCAGTTCACTGCTACTCAGCAGACAGAATTCACACAAATAGATGGCAATATCAGATTAGGGTGTTGATTTGCTACATTATTTTAATAGAGTCATTATTTTTCCCTTCATATTTCCCCTTGCTGTGACCTGCTGTAAGGTTCTCTGAGCCCAAAAGCTTGTTTAGTTTTTATTCCTTTATCAACTAGTTAAATAAAAGATGTTAAGTCTTCTTGCAAATTTTGCTTCCTATTTCTTAGGCCATCATGGCTCAAAAGATTGTGAATATTAAATCTGTATTTTATTTTTTTTTTTTGCCTAATCTCAATTTTGAAATGCATTAATATTTAAGCTTTTGCTCCCTATGAAATATATATATATATATATATTTTTTTTTTTTTTTCAGTTGCTTTCATCAGATTTGAGTCATTTGATCTGAGGTTGGGGGATATAAATTGTATTTTTATCCTTCCCACAGATTTCCTTTCCATATCTGCTGCCTTTGAGACTTGGTCTTTGTCTTTGGGTTGTGAGAGGGTTACAGCAACAATACAGTGAGGTCTGGTGGGTTTATTTTTCTGTCTTCTAGGAACTTCATGTGCATTATGCATATTTTTTTTTTCATGTTTAGAAGGTCATGTTTAATCTCTTTACACTATCCATGGGAAAAGATTTTTCCAATAAAGTTGCTGTGTCCCCTGCACTTTTACATCGTTCCTATTGCTTTGAAGAGGTATGCTGTGCTATTAGCACTCTGGAGAGCTTTTTTTTTTAGTATTTTATTCATTCTGCAGTTTAATTAGACAAAAATGTTCCCCGTACCTTCTCAGCTGATACTGAAATGCAGCACTATTAAGATAAACCCTACCTGGAAAGCCAGAATTTTGATTCCTGTTGATCTTTCCTTTGAGTTTAAAATAAGTTTTCTTGAGCATTTGCCTTGTGTGAATCTCTTGCTGAGTAACATCAGGCAGTCTATCTGCTAAATCTAAATAGGCAGGAATTAGGCAAACTTGTTGATTCCACTCTACAGTCCCAGGGTTTCATGGGCAAGGAGGTTGCTCCTCAGATAACAGGAAGAGTTTTAACTGGATTTTAGGTAGTGGAGCTTGAAGAACTGTTTTTTTTTTTTTTTTTTTTTTTTTTTGTTTGTTTGTTTGTTTGTTTTTTCAGTTCATCTTCCACTGGAAAAACAGAACAAAACTAAAAACGCTAGTGGTTAACATAAAATGAAAATATTTCAATATCATTTTCAGGACAAAATTCCGGAAGAAATTTGCTTTTTAAAATTCAAATCCACCTTCAAATTAAAAATATTCTCTTGTCTAGTATTTCTTCAAATTAAAGATTTCAAAATTAAAATGCATTGTACTTCAGAAAAGGTAATATGACTTCTCTAGTGGGCTGTGTATTTTTTCAATTGAGAATACTTCCTTTGGCATTGATATTACTATCAAAGAATGTTGTCAAAAAGATGTCAAGCAGAAATCTGTCAGAACCAGACGATTTCAGGGTTACTGAAACACAGTCATCTCTTTCCTTTTCATGAGTTAGCTCAGTATTCCCCCATGGCTTTACAGTCAGCCCACAGCTGGCAGCACCAAAGAATATCTTGTTATTCACTCAGGGTGTGCTGATTTAGCCTTGTGAAATTCAACTTGAGAAGTCAGAAAGAATATGAAAGCAAAATAGTTTGGATGAAAAAAAGTTTCATTTTCCTCTGTTATGAATTCATTTGTCCAAGTTGGACAAAAACCTCCCTCTGCAAAGACGCAGTCCTTAATATGGGGTTTCATTACTTCTGGATCTTCTCCCTTTGGTCTTATGGAAGTAGATCATAATCTGCAATATATGCTTACAGTATTTTTCTTTAGAGTATGGATTGCAGGCATTAATTTGTATCAACAACTAAGGCAATATCTCTGGAATGATTAATAATAGGTATTCTCAGAAAAAAATGTTTCCTGAGGCATAAAACAAATTCATGAAGAAAATGGAAGTGACATTGACATAAACAATTATACCTTAGATTTGTGTTGTATTAGTAACCTAAGGCAAAATCTAAAAACTTACAGAAATAGCTTGAATTCTGTGGACCTAGCCCATCTGCTGTCCATGAAATGTAGTCTGCTATAAAGCATTAATCACCCTATGTCTGGCAACTGTTTGGTGATATTCTTATCCTGATCTCTCTCACTAAGAAAGACAATGAGAAAAAGTAGAAAAAGGCAGGACAGGCTTTGCTTAAGCAAGCTAAACTGCCAGAAAAGATACTAATTAGAACATGGTTTGACTGACTGACAGCTGATAAGGGGTTTTCAAGGTTGCAAGTTTTATATTTACCTATTTCCCTTTGTATTTCCAGTTGTAACTGAACAAACTACTTTGGAGCTCCTCATTCTCTTAGGTTATTAATTTAATTATTAATTTATCATAGGTTATTAATTTCCATACTCTAATATTATGCAGTATTCTGTGTTGGAGAATTTTAGAGTGACAATGGAGTTTTGATTTTGTGTTAATAAATAAAATTTATTAACACAAAAAATAAATTTTGTGATAAAGTAAATCTAAGTGGCTATATCTTAAGTGGATATTATGAAAATGTTAGAGACAACAAGTTGTACATAAAGGAGACCTTTAATGTCAACATAATATTTAAATCTAACAGCTACTTTACTTGAATATTATCTGCAGAGTCCTTGCTCTGAAAAATCTCTACTGGCTGACTACTGCTTCACTAAGGGAAGAGTATCTTATTGAAAATTCAAGTTAAAAAACAGATTTTCACCTTGTAGAACTGCATTACATAAGAATGAAGAAGTAGAGAGGGAAGCATGGAGTAATAACATACTAGACCGTGTGAAATAAAACCAGTAAACAGAAATTATGTGACCAGGAGATAAAAAGTGATGGAAGAGAAGGTGGGACAGAAAGCTATAAACAGCACTAAAATGTCTGTAGAGGAATCTTTTGCAATTCAATGTGAATGTAATAATTGCAAATACAAACTATTAAAAAGAACCAAAATTATTTTCTAGATATGTAGACAAATGCTTCAATTTTTTTCTTTCTGTTCCTCCAGAATGTATTCTGTTATCTTTCTTGATGTTTCATTGGAGAAATCACCAACCTAACGATGCTGAGAACAGTTAGAAATGTATTTTCTTGAGGGAATTTCAAGCTTATTTCTGTGTAGGTTGACATTATATGTGGTTCACTCATCACAGTGGAAAATTAGGTTTGGATCACCAGGAGGTATCACCCAAAATAGAATAATTTTTGCTGCAAGATGTGCTGTGGAAGGATCAATGCAAGTCCTTCTTGAAAGGCCCTCATTAATTATAGGTCAACTGAAAGCTCTGCAATTGCTAGTTCTAATGTAACATTTTGCATTCCTATTCCGTGTTCGGAAAACACCAAGCTAAATATGACTTCTATCCTGACTTATCATAAATAAACTTTTCATAGAATCCATATTCAGCTTGCTTTTTTCTAAGACATAAGATCTCTAAGGATTGACTAAGAGTCAGAATCATAGAAGCATGGAATGGTTTGGGTGGGAAGGGACCTTAAAGATCGTCTCATTCCAACCCCCTTCCAGGGGTAAGGACACCTCCCACTAGACCAGGTTTGCTCAGAGCCCCGTCCAGCCTGATCTTGAACATATCCACAACTTTTCTGGGCAACCTCTTCCAGTGTCTCACCACTATCTGAGTAAAGAATTTTTTACTTATATCTAATTGAAACCTACGTTTTATTTTTTTTTAGTTTAAAGGCATTACTCCCTGATCACTATACTCCCTGATAAATAGTCCCTCCCCGTAAGTCTCTCTCTGATGAGAACTGAGAATGAAGAAATACTTGTGTATATGGCCAATTGGGCTAATATTTATTGATCCTGTTATTTTACCAGAAAAGACTGGAGCAAACAAGACATCTAAACACAGACTTAGATTGAAAATTACATTAAAGAAAAGAAATAGGTATCGGTTTTCATCAGCAGCATCATCATCCCTGTTTCTGTTTACAAAGACGCTTTGGAGAACCTTGGTCATGAACTCTTTGTGATTGTCAAATTGACCCTAAATTACTATATGAAGACTTTGTATGAGCATTATCTGTACAAATGCATTCTATGTGTTGAATACACTTAGCACTTGATTTAATAGTGTTCTCTCTGGAGTTTTTACTTTGTGCCAATAAACCAGACTTATTTAGAGCTGTTGGCTCTGGTCCACCATTTCCTTGTTAAATGTTTAGAATTTTTGTAAGTGTTGTGACCCTTTTGCCAATGCAAGTGATCCTAATTCTAGCAATTTACACTTGTCACTTTCCTTTAAACTCCATTACTGCACACTGAAATTCTACACAAAAAGGCTTAGAGACCATTTAACAAATAACAAGTCGGAGATAGAGGGATTTTGTCCCTTATGCCATAATTGTTTATTTTATTAATTATTGGGGTTTTGGTTTTGTGTTGCAGAATTGTGACCTGACCCAACAGAGTATCGTTCATATTGTTCAGAGTCCACAGAAGAGCAGTCAGAAGAATGATGAAGCAGAAAATAAGCATGCTGGAGGCATTCTAAAGACCTTGGAAAGAGAATCTGAAAGTCTAACTCGCGTAGATCTCAGTTCTAGCATCCTCCCATCACTGTCTGCAGGGTTGGCTGTTATACTGGATACTACAAAGCCCAGCATTTCTCTTCCCCCTGAAAAGTCAGGTAAATCAGCACTTTGGTACTTTTCAATACACAGACCCAAATTTGTAAGTTTCTTCTTAGTGTGAACACTTGTATACTACAGAAGAAAAAGCATAACATATGGCTTTTAGCTTTTTTTTTTTTTTTGCTTTTTTTTTTTAAAAGCAGTTATATTAAGAGGTGATAAGCATCTGATGCTTCTTCTAGCAAAATAATTTTGCTTAGTGGATAAACTCAGTGATTTCTTGTGTTGTTCCTGGCTCTAACTTGTAATATGCTAATATTTTTACAAATAAGCTGGAAGAAAAAACAAACCACACACACACAAACAAAAACAAGCAAAAAAGAGGTCTATGAGCAAGCAAAAATAGTCCCTCTAAGATCTCCATAACAGAAGTTTCTGTAACTAGAATATTGGGCAACTTTTACACTGGAAATGTGTTTAATTCCCAATCTGTTGTAATGTTTTCATTCCCATACACTTTATAAAAAATATTTCTATACAATGGGCTTCCTATTTATAAAAACATAGCTGGCACAAAATATGATGATGATTCATACTGTGGATTTGAGTAGTTCTTCGCCCACCAAATTATTATGAAGCATATTTTTTCTTCATTGTGAGCAATCATCTGAGGCACAAGTTAAGTGTCATAAATGGATTGTGCTGTAATATTTAAAATTTTTTTGGAGAGATGTGTCCCAGTCAGAAGGAAATATAAGAATATCCTAGCTACTACTTCGATCTTCCCAGAGTAACGCCCTCCTACACACACAGTCTGACTAACGCTTACTGAAAAATGTGTTGTCCCCAATGAAGAAACATCATTCTATGGAATACTAGGCTCTGGTGATTTGTGGTAGTAGTCCATCAAAGATGTCTTTTTGGAAAGAACAATATACAAAATACCCCTTATATGTGATGTGGAAGATAATACCAAACATAGGTCCAGAGAAGGAAAGATAATCTGTAAATATGACACAGAGATATCTCTGTGACTAAACTCAACACAAAAATAGTCATGCTTAACATAACAGCTGCTAAAACTATTAAAATAATTTTTAGAGAATTTTTTAAGTAACTCATGCAGAAAATATACAATTCATGGGAGGGTCAGAGAAGTGCTCCACAACTGACTTGATCAGCCTCTCACTGCCAAGTAATGATGAATGAATGCAGTTTACGAACAAATTAGTGCCCAGCTTAATGATCCATATCTCACATTCTGCATGAATAATGAGATAAAAGGACTGCATTCCAATTTAAATCTGGTAAGCTGGGGACAGAGTTTCAGGTTGGGCCTACCATCTAAGTCAAGGCAAATGTGTGAGATTCTTAATGCTACTTATTTATTTTTTCACTACAGTACATTATATTTACACTTAATAATTATGCTTGACTTTACAGAATATTTTATATAGGTGTAAGGCATTTTAAAATTTGCTAATGTAGTACATTTTTCCTGGACTTTACAAATTTGGTGAAGAGAAGTTCCAACTGATAGGCATCTTCTGTTGCAGCAAATATTTTCATAGCAGAATGACAGCTGTGGGAAAAAAAATAATTTGTAGAGTATATGTTGACTAGTTTTATCTCTGATTAAGTTAAACAGTTTTTTTTGTGATACTGGGAAAAAAAAAAAAAAAAAAGAAAAGAAAACAAAGAGCCACCTATAATGACCGACAGTTGTGCCTGGAAGGATATTAGTAACAAGTATTTTTTAAAGGCCTGTTATCTTCTCCTTGGCTTGTTATGACACTCACAATGAATACTTGGCCTTGCCTCTGCTCTGCTCTACCACTTTTGTTCAATATGGAGGATTTTTATGGTTTTGTTGTTACCAGGACTTGGCGTGGGTTAGTTTGTAGTCATAAAATTAATTGAGATAAGGACTAGTCTAAGTTTAAAATGATCCATAAAGAAAAATAAAGTAAAATAAAATAAAATAAAATAAAATAAATCACCAGTTTTTCAGTCAACTTTACTGTGTAGCAAATATTTGTCTTGACACAACTGTGATGAGTAACAGTCGTGGAAATGAGTGGCTGAGGGCTGCATATGCCACCACTGCCACTTTCAATGATACTTATAAAGCTATTCTTTTAGAAGGTGGATGGCTGTTGCAGTGATTTACCTAAAATAGAAACCTATCCAGTAAAACCAAGCATTATCTTTTTCTGTGTGTGATAGATCACACACAATGAATGGAGGGCAAATTTAAACCCACAGTTTAGAGGCAAAGGATTGATTAATTGATTATTATTTAGTCTAACAAGCTGCACAACTATTTTTTACTTGTAGCAGTAACTGGTAAGAGGCCACATCTATTTCAGAAGTCTAAGGTATTTATGTTTGTTACCACAGGATTCTGACACTACAACCCTTGCCTTGCTTTTGTTTTATTTTGCCCACCTTTGAATTACAAAGACAAAGTTTCTTGCATAACTTTTGCATAATAAAAGCTTCTCTTAGAAGCTTTTTTTTTCAGCTTTTGTGTGAAAAAAATAGTATTTTTCAGGTATTTGAATACATGGAGTTCAAATTGTAGAACTGTATCAGAGAATCCAGGAGAGAGAATTCTTATTGTACTGCTATTATGTAAGTACACTTATGTAGTATAGGCACTTATGTACTATAAACTGCTGCATTTGATCAGACAAAAGCCCTTATAGCCTGACATCCTGTCTCAGATAAGGGTCATTATCTGAGAACACAACAGGACATCCTCTTCCCTGCTCGCCCCTCATCTTAGTGGTGAGTAATGAAAGCAAACCTTGATTTGCCTGGAGAACCATCTTATAAATATTGTATTTTTATATTATTAAATAATATAAAAATGGATATAAATAATCAAGGATTTCCATGCTTTCTCTCTTTTCAGACAAAGGTAATAGCAGTGCATTTTTTTTTCCGTCTGCTGAATAAAATCTTGCATGATTTCTAACAAGCATGCAAAAAAATCTCAGGACAGGACTTTCATCCTACTTCACCCTCACCTAATTTAGAATCTGCCCTGTATCTCAGACACAGTGCTTTGATAAACAAGATATGAGCAAAAAATAAAAAAATCCATAATAGTTGCATGTCTGTAAATAAATGAACAGGGTGGCCTGAGAAACATTGAATCTGAAAAACATAAGGGCTCATCAGCTGAATATAGGCATGCATCATGATCATGGGTCCAAGAAACAAATGCGATGTTTGGGTGTATAAACAGGAAACTCTGGGTGGAGTGGGAAGTATGTTTTACCTCTGCTTCTGGCACTTGAATTGCTACAACTGGAATACAATGCACCGTTTTGATGTGTAAACTTCGGGAAAGCTGCTGAAAAAAAAAAACCTGTTAAATGGTTCAAGGGAAGAGTCACAAGAAAAATACAAAAGGGCAGGTCCTGATTACATGGTATAATCATGTGACATGCATGGGAGTGAAGATCTGATGGCAGGGAAATCTTTGATCTTAGAAGACATTTGTGGGTTTAAGCTTTCTCTGAAACTGAAAGCCGCTTAATATAAATAACACACATTTTAAGTTGCCAGGAAATTAACCACTGATGCAAATTATCCTGGCTTATAATGAATTCTCCATATTTGACCATTTAAAAATAAATACAGGCATTTTATTTATTTATTTATGTCAAGCAAACTTTTGACCTCAAAAACAAACAAACAAACAAAAACAAATTAGTCTGACAACATTTGTTTTCTGTAAACTTATACTGATGTTGTTATCTACTTAATTCCTGTGTTATTCCATTATAAACAGCTTTATTAGTTTGTCTGGACCATTAAATGTGCTTGTCATTATTCAGCTCTTTCTCTTTACAACTTTTAAATACCACTTATCTGGTCTGTTCCCTAGCATATGCTGGTGTTCTTTAGCTAGCCTTTTAAAAATACTTGCATGCAATTCTTCTCTGTCCCCTTATGTTTCCTCTTTTCACAGAAGAGTAAATAAGCTACTGGTATATATTGACTTAGGTGGGCCAAGCTGTAAATTCTAGCAAAAAGAGCAATTGATTCTCTTCCATCTAGTTAGAAAAATGCTTTGCCAAAACTTAACATTGGTTAAAAACAGCTGTCCTCGCATATAATACAAATACAAGTTAGGGCAGGTAAAAGTCATTAGCAAAACCTCAGTGTTGTTATTATTTAAAAACATGAAGTGACAAACTGTTTTCAGGTCTATGTAAAATCCATTATGTGAAAGACACAGGCAGAAGCTTTTAGAAGGAAAATATAGAACTTAGGGTTTGGGTAGTAAGAACTGTGCGTACTTCCAAGAAAAGCTCTGATGAAATAAAAATAAATAAATAAATAACTGAGGGTATTGCTGACAGTATATGAACACTTTTTAAATAGTACTCTGTTGATAGTACACTGACATTTCTGTGCTCTGCAATTGATATTATTTTTTATTATGATTCTTTTAATTAAAAAGCCTAAGTGGATAAGATTTTTTTTGTCTGGTTTGTTTGAAGTAAATGAGCTCCTGAAGTATTTTAAAATTACTTAACATTTTTTTCTAAAATGTACATCTCCACCTCCCCATTGGCATTAGACTGAATACCCGTAGAAGTACAATTGCAGCTTTTTCTTATCCTCTTTCTGAGATTGCCATCAAAATGTGAGCGCTGATCCATCCAAAATGGCCTCCAGCACCGCAAGAGCATCTGTATTGATACTCTCAGACATGGAGCTCTGTAAGCATTTAGCAACTGAACTAGACAAAACTAAGACAAGTACAACAATGAACTTACTTTCCCATGACCTAATTCTGCTTTGCTGTGTCAGAAAACTAAATGTCTACAAATTTACTCTTCCTTTAGAAAAAAATAAAAATATTCCTCACATTTCTCTGCTTTCATTTAGCTGCATTTTTAAGTGGGAAATTAGTCAGTGTAAAGATTTTTTTCCCATGGCATCTTTGTACAAATCATTCATGGATTAATTATAAAATAATCTAATGAATTAAATGTACTTTAGATCTATGGTATTGTAAATCAATAGTTTGAGGAGG